AGAATTGTTAAAAAAGCAGAATTATAATTTTATCATAAAAACATAAATACAAGGATAATCAGAAGAGAATAACACTGATTTATAAACAGGAAAATATTGGTATATAAAACAGAAACACAACAACAAATTTTTGTAGACCAGAACAATAAAACAATTATAAAGATCAGAATGACAAAAGTATAAATAACCAATAAAAATGATTATATATCTATCTGAATAACGATGATTTTCTATATAAAAAGAATAACAACTGCATAAAGAAAATAGTATAACAGTGGTTATATAGACATGATTAATCTTGCTGTCATAAAATAAATGGAATCAGTTTATAATATCAGTCTTGAAGTTAATCTACATAACCATCAGACAAAATCTTTAATCATTATAAAACAGAAAAAATAAGATATTTCATCTTGAAAGTATCTAAAATAAAGGAACCTAAAGACATAAATAATCGAAACGTTATATTTTGAAAATATGTTCCTTTTAATACACAGAAATAAATGTTTGAGATGGCTAATAACCATTCCACTAATAACATAGAGTAAAATTAGAAAAGGAAATAGAAAAAAAGTATCTATTTAAAAGTAAAAGAAATTTAAATATTTTTAAAAGAAGAAAAACAAATATAGATATATATAAATTCCTATTTGAGTTAGAGGACGTCGGATAGGAAAGAATGATTTTATTTTGTAGCATTAGACATTAAAAACTGCACTGCACTGGCAAAGCAGCACCAGGACAGAAGATGCCACATAGTCCACAAACAGGGACAGAATGTGCCACATAGTCCACAAACAGGGACAGAATGTGCCACATAGTCCACAAACAGTGACAGAATGTGCCACATAGTCCACAAACAGGGACAGAATGTGCCACATAGTCCACAAACAGGGACAGAATGTGCCACATAGTCCACAAACAGGGACAGAATGTGCCACATAGTCCACAAACAGGGACAGAATGTGCCACATAGTCCACAAACAGGGACAGAATGTGCCACATAGTCCACAAACAGGGACAGAATGTGCCACATAGTCCACAAAC